ACCACTAATTCCCCCCAGTCCCCTTGCCCACTCACCTCGAAGCCTCGTTCGGACACCAGGGCAAGGAGGCCGCCTAGTTTTCCGTCTCGCACGATGTGTGGTTTCACGACGCAAAGCGTGCACGCTCGCTCGCCGTTGTCGTCGGCCGGCTGCTGCTCGACGCCGCCTCCGTTGCTCTGGAACATTTGGCGTGCGTCCTCCGCCGCCTGTATCGGGATGTATTTCGGAAAGCAGGGCGTATCTAGCACCAAGGACGTGTAACATGCCCACAACTACTGCTGTTGTTGTTGTTGTTGTATTAAATCGACCACGAATGCATTAAATCGACCACGAATGTATTAAATCGACCACGAATGCATTAAATCGACCACCTAACAACAGCATTCAGAGCAACCAGAAGCCGAGCCCCACTTGCAAGATTCCCATCGCTGCCTTACGGATAGAAACAAGCAGAGGAGGGGCATCTGGAATAGACTATTAAGGTTTTGTTTTGCGGTGGCAAGAAGCCCCGGCGTATGCCTGCGCCGGTAGGTAGAAGAACCAAAAACGCTGCCTCGCCTGGGCGGGCGTGCTGGACGCGAAAACTCCCCCCTCGCGCTCGCGCCACTTTTCGACAACGCCTAGCAGTCCCTCGAAACCCCGATCCCGAGAATCTAGGATCACCTCCAGCGCCACAGCAGCGCCAGACTGAAGTGTGTGTCCGGTCCACAACAAGAGCATAGCAATAAGTGTAGAGATCGGGGAAGTGTCAGGTCGAATTAATCAATAGTGTGGTAACTGCCAAGCGTTCTTACTCATGAGGAGAAAGCCACCACACGTCAGTAGAAACGTAAAAACTATTGGACTCTTGTATTGTACGTAAATACTGTCCGGCCATGGAGGCGGCGGAACTATGTCTTGGTCTCGCAGCTCTGCAATGGCGGCCCTCTTCTAATAGAACGACGTCAGTGCGATATCGAACAAATGTCATTCTGGCGAAACCATGCCCGAGAGCATCGAAAGTGCTTGTGCTTCGGTCGTTGATATTGTGGTTCGGTAGTGTTGGTGTCTTGTTTATACACCATCAGACCACTTCAGTCAGCCGCTCATTGAGTGGTCTAATGGGTTATCCTTTGTATTTAACAGGTATGGCCTTGTCTTCCTTTCGAATACTCAGGTGTTCCTGTGGAATACAAAGTTGTTGCTGTGGATGGCGACAGTGGTGGTGATGGGTATGGTATTACCCACCTGTCAAATTCAGTCTTAGCCCCTTTCCCGCGAATTCCTCCACATACCATACCAGACCTACTTCCTGCGCCTTTTTTCGCCGTTCGTTTGGATATTCTCGCTTCGTCGTGGACCTCATCCGAAAGTCACGCTTGCTTCGTTTGTTTCCTGGTCACCTGAGGCATGTCGATGTCTGGCACCGGGAGCTCTGATCGGCGTTTCTCCCTCCCTTCCAGGCGGAACATCTTGGCGTTGCTGATAACGGAGGGACACCGCCGGTTACCCTCACACCCGCCGCCGTCTTGGAGACAAGAGATAACCTTCCGCCAAGCGTGCGGAGGGGAGAACGGTTTTGGGGAACCAGGGCAATCATCGAATGGGGGGATGTGTAGCCAGCCGGGGGGGGTGGAACTGGTAAACGTGCTGCGACGGGTAGTGACGCAAGTGACGGAACGAAAACAATGACAGTTCTGCTACTCACCAAGTAACCTCTCAATGCCATTGCAACATCTCCCAACGTCGTAACGGACGCTCGTGGCAGCAGACAAAGTAGAAATGATCCCTCTGTTGAATGTTTGCCTCCCGAGTACACCGCACGTTTACCCGCCCCCAAAGAAGACACGGCCAAGATGACATACGCTGCGGGCTTCGTCTCTCACATCGCCGAGGTATCGGACCATGGAAGGGAGAACCACGACGAACCCTCTGGTTTGGGTGCTTTCGTAGTACTTTCGGGTGCTCTCGTCCGCGTAGTCGACGATGCTAAGCTCGCGAGAAAACCTGTCGTGTATTTTCGTATCGTTTTTTTGACAGCGGTAGAGTTATTGGTAAGGTGCAATTCGGTGGTGTGGCTTGCCTGAAAGGAAAGAGGTTCTTCTTGTTTGGTCGACGGTTCACATCAACGGCACGGCAGCACACAAAGTGCACATAGAAGGTGCACACAAAGTCCATTCCTTTGTCTAGGAGAGAGGGTTGAGGAGTCAATCCCTCCATGTACACTCACTCCCGAGCAACAGAGCCCTCGAAGGTATAGTAAGTACTATGCACGAAAAGGAGGAAGAGCATGCCTCGCCGGGCTTCGAATTCCAAAGCTAGCCACGTTGGACGTTTTACGAGGTTAGAACCCAGACCACCGGGGAGACCAGCATTTGGGCACACAGACATTTCGTTTCGAGGTTGGAAGAAGTATTGCTCGAGGCGGGTGATGAAAAAGAATCAGCGATAATTTCGTTTGTTATTTCGGGATGGTGTCCGTTCAGACAAAAAAAGAGGGAAGAAAACGAGTGAGTTCCATCCATCCGTAGAACAGAGCACATGAACATGAACCTTGCGCAAGTAGAGCTCACAAAACGACGGTGCCCCCGATGTAGAGGTCGGTTGTGACGAGATCTTTGGCGTAAGTCTTGGAAAGAAACGTCTTGTTGCCGCACACCTGTATTGTAAAGGCGCCGAGAGCAAATGGCACCAGCAACACTGTAACACCCGTAGTCTTTCAGATCAGATAACGACGTCGATCTATGTACGAACTGTAGTAGAGAGCTCAATGGCATGGGGTGTGGAGCGTATTGTAAACCCAACCTCCTACGATCGATCGTGTTCCAACATTATTTGCATACGTCAAGCACCAGATAGATGTTCTTTTGCCAAATGTGCATGCGCTGTCGACGGCACAACATAAAAATACTACAGTACTGTGCGGACAAAACGTACGACACGCTGCCGCCTAAAAGCCATGCCCCGCGGCACTTTCCACTCTGCTGACGTTCAGAAAACCTTGAGAGTGCATCACGGGCGCCAGGCACTCGTCAAGTGTTCTCGAGGCGCCGCGGACCCTCTGCACACTCTGCACTTAGATACCGTAGAGTGCCCTGTGCCACCTTGGCCTCCACTCACCATCTGAACCTTCCTGTCCGGAAAGACGGTGAGTACAAAACTCCTGAGTGACTTCGCGACGGGGTCGAAGTACTCTACCGAGAACCCAACCGGCTTGGGAAACAACGCAGGAGCGTTAGTCGAGGTCATTGTTCCCGAGCCCCCTGTAGACGAGTGTGATATCCTGTTTGGTGAACCCAAGGAAGTACGAAAGCTAGAAGCGTGGCCGTGTCTGTGTGACTTGCAGCGGGATGCGTACAGAGCCTTTCTTCTACGTGGTCGGTAGTAGTGTTTTTGCTGTGAGTGCACTGCTTTGCGTTGTTCGCATATGTGTGGAAGCAAGAGCCAGATCTCTGTGTACGCGGCGGAAATCCAATAACGCGGCGGAATAGGTATAATCTGTAATCTGTAACGGATTTCCCGCTTCCACGATCCCTCGTAATACACGCGCGCGAGAGAGAGGGCGTGAATGCGGATGTGACCTATCCTTGCATAAGATTGTGAAGGTGTACCACTGGAGGTGAAGGTCTACCGCTGGTTGTCTCTGGTAGTAGTTGCGGTATTGTAGCATTGTAGCTGGGCACGTCTCACGGTACGCCGCAACGCACATGCGAAATCTGACAGTCCCGCGAGCGGACAAGAACACCGGGGGAGAGATCGAGAGCGAGAGTCGAACATGCGACCCGGACGCGGCAAGCGGCCTTCTCTTCTTGGTGGCAGTAGTAACACAAATCAAGCTTCGATGACACCACACGCAAGCAACCCAAGCATGATGTCGTCGCGTCTAATAACAGCACCAGCGAGAGGATCCACGGAAGTCGCACCCAGCAGCGAGGCTAAGCTTCAATATCTGGGATCTCGATACCCCGATGATGGAAGTCACAAGAAGTTCACAGATCAAAGGTGGTCCAGCATAGGTGCCGTACATTCCGGTGAACAACAAAAAACCCCTGCAGCCGCTGCAGCATCAAGGACTAGTAGCCGAGCGCTGCTGCACAATAACCACCCTCCTCGTCGACAGCATCATCATCAACGCCGAGCTGCAGCAGCAGTGGCATCGGAGCAAGTTCTTGACGCGGCGGCTCTGCAGGACAGGCTCATGCGGTCCATGAAGCTAGAGCTCGGGGGCCAACAATCTCGAGCGGTCGTAATTCTGAGCGACCGTAGCGGTGGCCGTGGCCTCGGCGCCGGCGGCGGCGGTATTGGTGGAGCACGGAGGGACGGGGTGCGAAGACGGCGCAGGAACCAAGCAGTCGAACCCGCGCTCGGACCCGAACTCGGGCCATCCGAAGATAGCCCTTATGCTAACCCGGCGGCAGCTGTAACCGGACACACCGTCGGGAAGCCCATCGGAGACGGAATCAGGAGCGGCGGCGACGGTGGTGGCGGCCGGACTGCCGCTTGGACTTGTCATGCTTGCTCGGCCCAAAACTACGCCATGGATGACGATACGCACCCGGGACAAGGACACGGCATCGCGGAGGAAGCAGGCCAACGCTGCTCGGTGTGCGTCCAACCCAGGCGACGGTGGCGGTTGCCCGGTGGGGAGGATGGAGATATTGGCGGCCTGGGTAGCGACGGCCGCAGCAGCTGCGAGGACGGAGTGCACGAGGGCGAAGAGCAACACCAGCCGCGGAGAGTGGCTGTGACGTTGGCACAGATCCGGGGGCTGGAAGAACCGCCTGAGCCCACCCTTACTCCCGGAGAGTGGAGGTGCGACGGCGGTAGTGCTCAAGTTCTGCGTACCATTTGAACATGCGGTTGTCGTGCATCTCTCCCTGCTGGGCGCTATGACACCCGAAGTGTTCACGCGGGGGAGAAGACGACCGACCGAATATTTTGGCGATTATGAGCCCTCCAACGCGTCGGTGTCTCCGTTCTTCTCGCCACCGCCCCTCCTATCCCCCGTCGCCCGCACGCCGTAGTTTCAGCTCATTGAATCCCGCGTGATAATGCAGAGAAATGAGGGCGTCCTGCAGGAATCCCTGTGTCACCTTTGCACAAGGCCGAACTCGTTATTGCACGCTCTGCGATTAACCGCGCGCGCTCCCTGTGCTCTTTCCTCTGGCCAGAGCCGTGGAAGCCAAGGCCCTGGCAAGGGGAGACGAGGCGGCGCCGTGCCCCATCTGCCGGGAGTCGTTTCGAGGAGAGAGCCAGGTCATCCTCAGCTGCAGCCACGTGTTTCACAAAGCGTGAGTCCATGTTTTCCTCTATCACCTCGAAGCCCTTGGTATCCTTCCCGGTCGGTGCTGCCTAGAACCCCAACCGCCGTTCTTGGGGGATGCGAAACCACGTTTCAGAAAATTGTGGTGTTGCTGTGGTTCTTGTGCTTGTTGCCGTTGCTGCGGCTGCTGCTGCTTCTGTCTGTTGCCTCCATCTGTAACACTGTTTCTGGCTCCCTCCGGGCCGCTCCTTCATGGAGACTGACCCGGCTTCGCCCGTTCCCTTTACAGACTGAACGAATTTACTTAAATAAGCTTGGCAATAACTGCCTGCAAACATAGAAGAACACATTATACACTGCTTGTAGAGCGAGATAGGAGGGTGGATTTGCTTGTAGGCAGTGCTTCGTTTCGTACATGACTGGAATACGATCAGTCGCACGATAGTTCCTTGGGTGGGATGGTGCTCCTGTCATCAGGATGGGGGAGATAATCGAATCATCAAGTCAACCGCCGCTTCCCCCCCCCAATCAATTGGCCATCAGTGATGGGTCCTGTGGGAAAGATGTTGCATGCTGTCGAGGACGCGTGGTCAAATGGTCTGATAACTGAGACATGCAAAACATTCGTACACCCTCCCGTGCTGCAAATATTACCCGCACAAGGTCATCACATGTTGGCCAGGGAAACACCGCGACATTCACATTCACACGTCTTTCACAAGTAAAGGATAGAGCGCGTGTATGTCGCCGACATCCACTTACCCCTTTTCGCGGAGGCGTTTTGACCCCGCGTTCACTCCCTGTCCCACCCCCGCCGTTCACAATCGAGTCCAAAGACTAACCGTAGGTGCCATTATTTTTCCGTGACACAGGTGCCTGTCGTCATTCGAGAAGTTTCTCCGGGCGCAAGAGAGGAGCTGCCCCCTCTGCCGCAAGGTCGACTACCAGAAGAAAGCGACGCGACAAGGTGTGCCAAGGTTTCCGCTCGGATTGTCCCCACCTTCCCCATAAGTGGACCTGACTTTATGACACACACTCCCCTTTCGCCCAGCCCACCCGTTCGCCCTCCCAAGTCAAGAAAAGGGCTACCGGCTACAGTGAGTGGTGAATCGCTCTCAGGAAACATATACTGTTCGAAAAAGTAGTGTTCATTGCTTCAAGAGCCATGGGAAAAAAAGACAAGGGGAAGAACGGTCGTTCACGTACAGCAAACTTCCGAGCAAGATACGGTCACCGGCGCGGAGTTAAATGGACACCTTTTTTTTGCCGGAAAGACACCCCTTACCGGCAGAGACATGCAGATATCTTTGCTGCAAATTTACATACCCCTTCGATGTCGCGAGTTGTTGGGAACGACGGAAACGTTCGGCGGGTCTATGGCTTGACAGCAGTGGTACAACTTGCCTCGCGTGGTAGAACAGCCTTGACGGTATGAAAACAAGCGACATGCCGCAGATGGATCGTTCCGTGTTGGCCGACCACGGACACGGATCGGCGCTCTTCCCCCCAGAGAAAGCAAAGACTGAGAGAGACAACACCGCCGATGGAGGAAAATCACCAGGCCTGACCGGTCATCATATGGTGTTCGGAGCGGCCGACTGAACCTACAACGCGAATCTCCCGGCCCGCGCAAACAGGCAATAACCAACCATTTGGGCGCTTCGTCCTCCTCCCCTCTCGTGAAACAGGGGCGGTGGCGTGGCGCCAGCGGTGCGCACGACGCCTGCAGTGCGCGTACCGGCGACACAGGGCACGGCGGCAGTACAGGGGGCTTCTGAGGAGACACTACGGGGCGGGGTTAGGGGACACCCTGAGGAGGAGGGAGTTCCTCAGCGGGCAGGCGGCGGAAACGGCGGGGAAGCTGGCTGCGGCGTTGGAGGATCGGGGGGATACCATAGACAGGTTAATTGACTAGCATGGGTTAGGAGCTATTGTCCTATCTGTTGGAACACGGTGGTGATCATGTTACTCCATTTTTCGACGTGGTGGTTTTTCTCGACAGCAAGGAAATAGAGTGAGAAGAATCGCCACAACGGCAAAAACGTGGGGGCGAAGTTCTCTGCATAATTTTTGCGCCGTGTTTCATCCCTAGTTGCGTGCTCTCCTGCTTGCCAGACACCATGTTACAGCCGTGCGTGATGGTGCGTTTCGATATGTGTTAGCAACAAGAGCCAACCCCGGTTTGGACCAGGCGGCAGAATTAATATTGCCATTCATGCCTACAATTCTTCTCTCAAATAAACTGTTGTGTTTCGCTACTCTGCACCGTCGGCTTTGCGCGCACTTGTTTACTCTGTAACCCTATTGCGGAACAACTGCAAGTGGGACAGAAGTATGTCGTTCCGGTGCTAGAAGAATATGGAGGCTCAGTCCCCTCCACGCCTACTTACGAATGCGCTCATACACAAAACGTGTTCAGAAACAAAGAACGGCCACAACCAGCCAAGAGCCAAAAAATAAGCAATTAAGCATGTGTTGAGCAAACCATGACAGCGACGCAACGTGCCCCGGATGGGTAGCATTCCGACAGGAGGAGGGGAGGGGCCACACACATGCACGAAAGGGATGCGTCGTCAATGGTGTAGACGGACGACCTAGGGACAGCGCCAAATCAGCCCCTCCCACCCACCCCACGCATGCTTCGTCCCGGCTTTGTAGGGATGCGAGGTCAATGGTCTCACGACTACGACATGCACGGCTACGAGTACCCCCCCCCGCCCCCCCACCTCATGCTCCTATGCTCTGTAATCCCGAATATGGTAGGGGGAACCTCCTCCGTATCGACTCGCCTTGCGGCTCAAAGTCCTGTGTCTATGATTGAAAACAAGGCAGCGGAAGTCGTTGTTGTTTGCTGATGTTGTTGATCGTGCAGCAAAGCAACGAGCCGATGCCGACGTAGCTCTTTGGTATCCTCTTAGTTCCCGAGTCAGCACACCTGGTTGATACACGTGCACTCGTTGTAACAATTACGCCGCATCAGGCTGTTCGGCGAGTTTGATCGAAGCCTGGCTTTCAGTCGGCAAGTGTTCGGGCCCGCATCGACATCGACGGATCCGCTGACAGCAACAACGGCCACAAGCAGCACGGAAGGGAACAACAACAACAACAACAACAACGGCAGTCTTTCTTCCTCGTCAACGGTGGGCAATGATAGCACGACGGTTACGCCCTCCAAGGAGAGGAGAGTGGTGGTGTGGAAAGAGGCGTGGGTAAAAGCGGGGGAGAGGGCGGAGGACGAGTGTCCCATCTGCATGTGCCCCATGCAGCCGATTCCACCTAGTACTAGCGGCGACTGCAACGACGGTACCGGCACCGATGCCGCAGGCTCGCTACTCCCTTCAGAGAGGGACGCGGCCGCTTCAGAAGACATCGCACGCGCCGCCGCCGTCACCGAGTCGCCTTTAAAGACGGATCCGCCAGAGGCGGCATCAAAATCTCAGCGTGGTGTCGGGGAGGCGGACGTTGAGGAAGCAGCGCCGCTTCCAACAGGAGAAGGGAATTGGCCCGACGTGCGGAGAGCAGGCGGGCCGCAGCACGTAGCAGAAGAAAAGCACGGCGTGACACCAGCCGGTTCGGTTGCGGCACCAATGAGCAAGGTGGGAGAACACCGGCCGCCAAGAGCCGTCCGGAAACAACGGGAGAGGTTGTTGCTGAGCTGCAGCCACGTTTTCCACAAGGCGGTGAGTACGGAGGCCTCGGGGTTCCAATGCGCAACTAACAAATGGCAACGGGGGGGGGGGTGACGAGGGGGGGGTAATAGAAGTATCGACCCCTCACACTTTTGGAAAAGGGAGCGACGATATGATTTGGTGTGGTTGTCGTCCAAGCGTCTGTGTTGTCAATCAGGGAGCAATCGCGTCGCTCACGCCCCCCCCCCCCACCACGCCCACCGTGCGCACAACCTCTGCCGCGAAGAAATTCCAAAGTTAGATTTGGCATCCATTTATTATATGTTGATGTGGATCTTTCCTTGCGTTCTACTCGAGCGTGCATTGCCTGTATTTTTTTTTCTCGGCTGCTGTACTCTCTATTCGGATACTGGACTTGTGTTACCACGTTCCAACGCCTTGCCCCTATCTCAGACTGTAGGGGTGCTCTTTGTTTTGCAAAAATAGCTCTTTAGAGGGACTACGCCGATTTGCAGAAGCATCCCGTTGTTTTTTACCGCAGGGAAACCGGCAATGCCCGGCCGACAGTTGTGCGGTCGGGGCGATCAACTCGGTCGAAAATGGCAATAAAAAACGTACGCACACTCGCGCGCACACAACATGCCGAGGGTTTGAGGAATCATCGGTAGCTGCGTCGTCGTTGACGAGATTCCGATCGTATCACCGTTCTGTTCGTGTGTTATTCCGTCGTGAAATCGCACCCATCCATCCATCCGCAGTGCCTGAAAGCCTTCGAGGGCTTCAACATCTATGAGGTGCACCTGTGCCCGATTTGTCGCCAGGAATACGAGAGCGTCGACCCTTCCCGTCTCCACTTCAGTAGGTCGTCGCCACACTCCACGGTCGGCCCAGGGTCATCGAGGAAGCGGGCGATGTAGTTGGGGGGGAGTGTACTCATAGTCGTGCATGCCGTACGTAGTCATTGGACCATTGACCTCGCATCCCTACAAAGCCGGGACGGAGCACGCCGGGGGCTCACCGGATCAGGCTCTCACATCACCAAGCGCGAAGCACCGTGAGGTATTCGGCGAGTCGCAGGAAGGGTGCGCTTCATCCTGCTAAGGGTGTTCGGTAGCATGTGCTTACTTCCTTGCGTACGGATGACAGCTGCGTATGTCTTAATTTATTTTCTGGTGCTTCCACTTCCAGAGACAGTTATAAGCACTGTGTAGCTGCCTCGAGGGTGCTTGACCAATATTAACACAACGTGGTGCGATCATCCCCTTTGCGCAGAGTGAGGGTTCTCGACCCCGCACAACATGATCTACTCCACCACCATTATGGTGCAGCAAAAAAATAAATAAACCGAGGAAAAAAAATGCTGTTACCTGGTTGCCGAGCTCACGAAGTGATCGGCTTGTTTTACAATGTCGTTGCCAAGCGACGAAAACCCAACCCGGATGGCAAACACCGAGGGGGCGATGTAGGGTGTGTCAGTCTGAAGAGTGTCGCTAGGTCTAGAAGTCTTGCCCTGCCCACCAACGTCTATCATTTTGGCCATGTACAGGAAGAACTCGTCTACATGGTGGAGGAGTAGCGGTGAAAAGGACGCACCTAAGTGGAACGAGATACATGAGAAGTCGGTAAGGAAAGCAGGTGCCGAGATCTCGGCATGTCATGGGGGTCATGTGGCTTGGCACATGGAATGCTGCGCGCAACCGAAACAACGGGGAGATCCAAGCGGTGCAAGTCGGCTGCGAGAGGAGTTTCGGTCAAGGTCTAACTGCTATAACTGAAATGGATCGGTCCACAGAAAAGACAAGTTGGCTTCGAGGACCTTGTCGTCAGTACCTGATCGAACACCTTGCTTGGCGAGTGATAGATTCGGAGTAATAACCCCAAAGCACCGACGGCGTACGTACATCGAGAGATTTGTGCAAAGCATCCGGTCCACCACAATATCTGGAGTGCCGTCGGCAGTACACGTAAGCAGCCGTGACGGTGTACTACTCAGCACGTCGACCAACACGATCCGTGAAAAGCGTAGGGGGGCGAGATAATCGACCCTCACGGACACGCCAGGTTCGGAAGGCAACGGTTATGCCTTCAAGCATGCCAGAGCATCGTTACATGAAACGTTTTACCAACTTACACGGGTGGCCAACACACCAGGTCGTCGTAGGGGCACTTTTGCCAACCTCCATCTTCAATTATTTTGGCACCTCCCCACCTTGGGTAATCCTTGAAATGCAACGATGGCCAGGTTGTGCAAGGTATACCTTTCTTAGAGGTTGCGGGTTGTTTACAAGCCGGATTGGGGGCAGGTTGCCGATGGTAGTGCAAGGTGTGCCCTTTCTTGGTGGTTGGTGCGCTATTACAAGCCGGATAGGAGGCAGGTTGCCGATGGTAGTACAAGGTGTACCCTTTCTTGGTGGTGGGAACGCTGCTAACAAGCCGGATTGGGGTCAAGCTGTCGATTACCTTTCAAACAGCGACAATCTAACAAGCCAAGATCTAGACCTAGCTGTGTGTACATAGGACGGTCGAAGATCACCTGCAGCGTGAAACCCGTCGCATTGAAATTTCTCGAGATCTGCTGGTGGCACCGGCGGACGTTGTAGTAGGAGCACCCTCGAGGTAAAGTATGTAGTTGTGACGTTGTCCATCACTGAGTGCTACGAAGGGGCCCCCAAACTGCCACCACCCACCACAGCAAGCAGCGGGCGCCTTCACCCTCTGCCATTTTTTTTTTGTCGAATCCCGTTCTTTGACCATTCGGCTTCTACATACCGTGCCGACGTTTGCCTCTCCAATTGAAGAGCTCGATCGTACGGAGATTTCGTCTACGGCTCATGTCTCTCCTATCTTCATGTCATATTTCGAGAAGGGTTCATGACTTCCTTCCTCTATAACCTAAATGAGCTCTCATATAAGTATAACACTTTCTACTGCTACTGCTAAGGCGGACATTCGCCCGATACACAACTGAACGCGCCACGCGACAGGAAGAGCAACAACGACCTCAACACATGCTACAGGAAAATGGTAAATCCCAAACCCACAAATGAATGCAAACTCATCGCTAGCAAAGGTATCTAGGCCCGCGCGACATCGTGTGCCCGAGCTTGTCAACGCGAGCAGCATCACACGCCACAGAACGTTTCCTGCGCGGGCACAAAACACGGCACGTCTTTCCATCGCACCCTAAGCCTGACGCGTGTGCGGTGCTAATCAGAGAGGCACCACGCACGTAAAGTGCTCAATCAAGCAGATCACGCTGCTTTCTCTGCCTGCCTGCCTGCCTCGAAGCTCCCCTCGCACATCTCCACACAACGCCAGTCGCCATTTTACTGCCAGCTCGTGTAAGCTGTACAGAGAGATTCGAAGCAAGCCGAATCTCTCAACCCCGCGCTTGAAGGTTACCGGGAGAGGTAGTTGCAATTTCGAAAACAGCTACTGGGGCTTGAGCTTGCGCGACAGAGGCTAGAGGGAGCACTACTCGAGGCTCCTATGCATATACACAATTTACGGTAGAAGGGCAACGCGAGGAGAAGCAGAGAGCTTAATAACAACAACGCCCAAAAAAAAAAGAAGTTAAGAACAAATCGCTACGCTCTACATTCCCAACATTCACCCCCCCAAAATGACCAAACAACGACGTCGCGTGTTCCTTGCACATGGGAACGTATTGTAAGGAGACAAAGCAACAATCAGAAGAGCCCGTGTAGAGCGGGGCATTAATGCACACGACTTGGCATTACAAGACAACAGAAGAAAACAAGTCAGTCCGCGAAATTGGACGGCCATCTCCCAGCGAACAGTATCTACACAGGCCGCTTCATTTAATCCATCCTCCATCTTCAGTGCTGCTAGCGTGGTTCCCTTGGATCATCCACTCCCTAGATGACAACACATTCACGTGAACACACTCTCCTTATCTCAAGCCACAACCGACTCGCAGACACTAAGTGTGCGATTAAACGTATTACCATACTTCTACACCGGTGTGCAGAACGCTCCTCGGAACGACTCGAACTGAGTGCGTCGGCGAGGGAACAGGTCTTGAGGTGCCCCACGCACTCCTACAGTAGTAATGTACACGCAGACACGCAGACAAGAAATATTAACTCTTAGAAACGCCACCAACGCGCTCCGCCGCCCCGCTCGAAGCAGCCTTGCTCCCCGCGCTGCCGCCGCTGCCGCCGCCGCCGCCGCCGCCGCCGCTGCTGCTGCTGCCCGAATTACCGAACCCAGGCAAAAGCGGAGTCCCGTTGCTAGGCTTGGAAACGGCACGGACAACGCCCCCGCCCCCGACGCCCCTAGCTTCCGCACCCGCTGGGGCGGTGCCATTAGAGCCGTCCTTGGCCATATGAGGCATGGAAGGTGTCGTCATCGTCATCGCCGCCGGGGCCGGAGCAGGAGGGGCGGCCCCGCTGGTGGCGGCGACGGCGGCGGTAGCGGCGGCGGCGGAGGGAGGAGCGCTGTCGACCCCTACGGCCGCCGCCGCCGGGTGCGGCGCTACCTGCAGGGGAGCGGTCGTTGCTGCCATCGTCATCGCCGCCGCCGCCGCTGCTGTATGCTGCTGCTGCTGCTGCTGCTGCTGCTGAATGGTGCTCACGGCTCTGGACGCCGCCGCCGCCGCTAACCCGAACGGCGGCAGAACCGACGCACCGCTGCCGCCGCCGCCGCCGCCGGCCTCTTCGGCAACCACGTCGATGTCCTTCTCGGCGGCACCACCGCCGCCGTCAGCATCGACCCCGGCGGGAGGGGCGGGGGGGGGAGCAGGAGCGTTGTTGATGTAAACCGCGGCGGGCCGAGGCGACAGCCTAATAGGGACGTTGCTGTGGTAGGCCACCGCGGCCGGGGGGGGCGGCGGCGGCGGCTGGGGCGGTGCCAGCCTGGCGGCGGCCGCGCCGAGCTTGGCGGCGTTGGCGGAGGCGGCGAGGGCCGCGACGCGGGCCCTCCGGAGCGTGAAGACGCACCTGCCGACGCCGAGGGCGTGGTAGTCCAGCTGCCCGCGGTCCGGGTGGTTCCCCACCTGAAAGACGGTTGGTTCAGACGGAGTTCCACGAGAATGAAGGATCAGTCAATACTGTACAACGGGACAACAGCGGAAGCTTGCAGCCACAGAACGGAACAAAGTAGTGTAATGCATCTAAGAAATCTTCTGTTTTAGAGTAAATGAGCAGACGGACTTCCACGGAAAATCAAGAACTATTCGTATCCCTAGTTGTTGTTGTTGTTGTTGTTGTCTTCACATTAAAAACCGTTCCGGTCTCTCTCTACCCAGTACCTTCGTATGTCCGTACTGATCCAACACTCGACGCGGTCGATTCCCGTGGTCACAGGTTAACTTACCCTAAAAAGGTACACTCAAATAAACTGGCCCCGAGGGGTCCGCAAGTCAATAGAAATCAACGACAGATATTCTGGGATCCTCCGCTCCCTCTTCACGCTATGCGGGGTATCAACTGATATTAGCAGTCACTATCTATCATGGGCCGGAGAGAAAGAGGCACACTCCCTTGGTTCAATCTTGGTACTTCACAACGCAAGCAGAGACAAGTCCATCTGGCACAGAAAAAGAGAGAAAAAAAGAGAGAAAAAAAAGGACAAAGAGAAAAAAAAGGAGAAAAAATAAAAATGGAAACCGTAAGGAGAAGAGAAAATAAATGAAAATAAAATGAAAATGAAAAAAAGGGCGAGGACAAAGAGGACAAAGAGGGACCAGGCCGAAAATAACAGGAAGTATGAGGCAGAACAAGGCACACGGTGGAGAGACCACTAACGAACAAGCAAACACGCAAACATGGCCACCAACCAGCGATACATTGTAGTGGTACGAAATCACTACTACTGGGGGGTTGGTGCAATGGTGCAGCGTTGGGGGGGGGGGAATTGGCGAAAAGAAATTCAATCCGGCACGTGTCGTGCCACTCGGTCCGTCTCTTCTCGTTTGCTTTCTTCCCTCGCCGTCTCGTCCGTCTCCTGCCCCCCTCCCGCCCCATTGGTTGTTGGCTTGTGGTTTCGTTTGAGCGCTCGTTGTCGGCTGGCCTCTTCTTCCTTCTCGTGCCAGGAGGTCATGAACCTCTCAGCTCCCTGCAGCACCGCCGCATGCCAGGGTACTCCCCCCTCCACCTTAGTAGTAGTCTGCCGTTTGGCGTGGTCGTCTTTTCATTGGTCAGCCCATCATGTAGCGCGGTCGATGCTAATAATAACAAACCACACACACACGCGCGCACACACAAGACACACCACAACACACACCTGGGCGGCAAGGGCCGAGAAGCACTTCCGGACCCGCGGAGTGTCCACGCGGTTCGAACCCGGCCCGACCCGGCTGTTAGACGCCGGCCCCGTCGGCTGAGGGTAGCGGTTGCCAAGGAGATACCTGGTGAGGCAGTCGAACCCCGTAGGCGTGCCGTTGCTCTGGCAGAGGTTGGTCAGCTGGCGCCGGCTCGCCTAAATTGAGCAAACATTTCACAGGCAACCGCGGACAGGGGACAGGGGACAGGGGACAGGGGACAGCGGACAGGGGACAGGGGACAGGGGACAGCGGGCGGGTTGGCATAGATTTCTGAGGAGGAGGGGGGAGTAAGGACCGGGGCTAACTTTCGCTCGCAACAAGATATACTTGAACGGCTTTGGGAAGTAGGGGAAAGCGAGCGAACGAGCTGCGCATGTACTCACCACGGAGCGAGCAAGGCGGCAAGAAGTGGCGATGTGGCGCCACAATGTTTCGAAACGGGAGGAGCAAACACAACCACACGAAAAATCGCAACCCTTTTTATTGGTCTCTCATATTTTTCTCGTTTTTTCATCGCAGAAGGAATGGGCTCTCGCTCACCCCCCCTGACCGCACCCCACCCAACCCGCAAGCCCGCAAGGTGATGCATCAAAGGCAACAGAATTATCACGCCGCAGGCACACGGCACTCACCACCAGATAGCCCGAGCCCCATGGGGCAGGTTGGACCACGGCGCGCACAAGAGCGATCACGGGGCCCGGCGGCTCCCCCGCGGCCTTGGCCAGGCCAGTCAGGAACGCCTTTGCTTCCTCTTGATGGGCCAGCGGCTCGTTCACCTGCAGCTGGAAGGCGGTGAGGACTAGCTTCTCCGCGGCCTGGTCGGGTAAAACAAGGATACACACATAATATGCATGGTCAGGTAAAAAAAAGGGTACATATTATACACGTTTCTAGTCAAGTCAAAAACGTGTATATTTCATGGGCAATCAAAAAAAGGGTACATAAATATCATTTGTATATATTAATTTGTCTATCGCATCGCGAAGGTACAAGTATGTCGAAATTTAGGTACACGTCAAGAAGTCCGACGAGAGAAGGCAAGGACCAAAACGGGGGGCACGCGGTTTTCATCGGCCGGATCATCAGGAGCGTGCCAAGTCCGTCCGCCGACAAAAAAAAGGAACGCACCAGGATCATTCGGTGTGACGGACGGATGGATGGATGGATGGATGGATGGATCAAACAAATCTGCGGGGGAACATGCAAAACGCTGATAGATGCTCTCGCCATCGCCCTCGCTCTCGCGCTCTGCTCTCTCCCTCCCTCTGGCGCTACAAACCTGCCACTGGCGGACCGGAGGCTGGAATCGCGGACCTCCGCTGCCGCCGCCGCCGCCGCCGCCGCCGCCGCCACTGCCACCGCCACCGCCACCGCCACCGCCAGCGGGCGCGGGCGGCGGCGCCCCGTAAGCAATGGGGATGCCGTTAGGGGCATGGGGAACGCTTCCAGCGCCAGCCGTGCCACTCATCGGTAACGTTTGAAACCCGTTCGCCGCTCCAGCCGATGAACCGCCGCCGCCGCCGCCGCCGCTCCCGCCGCCGCTCACGACGTCTACGGCAGACTCCTGTTGCTGCTGGCCTCCTCCGTCGCCACCACCGGTGTTGGTTGTCGAGGCTGCGATGGACGCCGCCGCCGCGTTGGCGGCCTCGATCGCCTCCGCCACGGAGGCGTTCATCACTGCCGCCGCGGCCATCATCTTCTCGGCCGGGGTCCTCGACTTAGACGCACCCCCCCCAGGCTTGCCGGCCGCGGCAGCGGCAGCAGCGGAGGAAGCAGCCGCAGGGGCGGGGGCTGCACCTTCAGACTGCCCCGCCGGCTCCGCCGACGCAGGAGTGGAAGTGGAATCCGGGGTGCCGTTCTGTCCGGCCTCAGTTCCCACTGCCGGGGGGGCAACAGCCTGCTGCTGGTTGTTGTACCCCTGCTGTTTCTGCTGCGGCTGCTGCTGCTGCTGCTGTTGCTGTTGCTGTTGCTGTTGCTGCTGCTGCTGCAGTAACAGCCCCGTTGCCCCGCCCCACTGGCCGCCGCCCAGTCCGGCGAGAGCCGCCGCCGCCGCCGCCGCCGCGCGGTGGTCCGACGGGTGCCGCCTCCCGCCGGGGCCTCCGCTGCCGCCGCTGCCTTGCCACGGGGCGCCGAGGACCTGGACATTCGCCGCCGCCATCGCCGCCGCTGCCGCTCTCGCGGCCGTCGCCGCCTCCGCCTCCGTCGGGCGCTCGTGGTCCGCGGCCCGCTGCCACTGCTGCTGCTGCATCCTGGCCGAAGCGGCCGCTCTCTCGGCTACGGTCTGCGGTGGTGGCGAGGAGACCGCCGACCACGGGGCGGCCGGGACGGCGCCGGGGGGCGGCACCGACGTGATGATGTCGGGGGAGGACGTGTGCCAGGCCCGCTTCATCGACCGCCGGCTGCCGCAG